TAAAGTGAGAAGTCTGTGAATGTGTGTGTTTGTTTGCGTGTGTGTATAATTGACAATAAATGTTCAACAGGAAAAGACAGAAAAGGCAATTTACAGGAATAGGAAAAATATTTCCAAGCTATGTGTCCGACAGTTAATGGTTAAGGAACTCCTACAAATGTAGGGTTAAGAAACTCCTCCATCTTAACAGCAGAAACAAATAACCTCATTATAAAGTGGGCAAGGGACTTGCATAGACATTTCTCCCAGAAATGGTGGCTGCCACAGGCTGAGGGAGTGGGAATTAGGGAACTGATGTTCAATGGGTGTCGAGTTTAGTTATGGAATATAAAAGAGCTCCAGAGATGGGCAGTTGGACAGTGTTCCTAGTTAACAATACTGCACTGTGCACTTAAAAATTTGGTAAGAGAGTAGATTCTGTGTTAAATGTTCTTATAATAATTTTAAAAAAGAAGAAATTAAACAATAAAGAGCAGAAGTTTATAAATAGAAAATGGACAATAGGGAGTAATAGCAAAGCTTAAAGACAACTCTGAAAGAACTAATAGACAAATCTCTTAAAATACAACTCATATAAAATAGAAATCATTAATATACAATATTGTGAAAAGAGAAGACAGTAGAGATAGTATTATGGACCATGGAAACTACTGTATTTGTAAAATAAAGGTCAAATGTTGGCAGTGTCTTGTGACTTAATCTAACAAAAGTTATATCAGACAAAATGGATGTAAATAAATTTGAAAACCTGGATAAAAGTATAAATTCACAGAACTAAGGCTCTAGAAAAATAGAATACTTTAATAATTCTATAATTAAAAGTAATTGATTATGAATGTAATACACTCCACTATTGTCACGTATGTAAGAAATAAATTAAAAAAGAAAGAAATATAAAAACTAGAACTAAAAAAAAAAGTAATTATTACCACAAAGAAAAACATCAAGGCCAGAAGATTTCTATGCTTTCTTTCAATCAACATTCAGAGACAAGTAACTCCACATTCACAAGAGAGGTACAGAGAGAACACCCTTCAAGTTATTTTATGAAACTAGTATAACCTTGACCCAAACTGACAAAGATAGTGTAAGAAATCATAATTCCCAGCTGTTCTTATATGTAAACATGAATATAAAAATGCTAGATAAAATCTTAATAAACCAAATTCACAAATGTACAAATTGAAAATAGTTCCAAAATGTGAGTTTGATATCACAAAACTAACAAATCAAAGGAGAAAACCAAAGGATCATATAATTCAAGCAAAAAAATAAATTTGAAAAAATTACAAACTTATTCATGGTTTTTGAAATCCCATAAACTAGGAATAGGAGGGGGTTGCATTACTCTGATAAAGAGTATTTAAAGAGGGCTGGGGTTGTAGCTCAGTGGTAGAGCGCTTGCCTTGCACACGTCAGGCACCGGGTTCAATCCTCAGCACCACATAAAAATAAACAAATAAAAATAGTTATTGTCTCCATCTACAACTAAAAAAATATTTCTTTTAAAAAAGATTATTTAAAGATCTACAGTGAACATTATACTTAATGGTAAAACTTTGAAAGCTCTTTGAGACTGGAATGGAGGTAAGAATATCAGATGTCACCACTTTTTCTTAATACTCAATCGGAATGTATAATGAGATGACAACAATGAGATAAAAGGCATAGGAATGAAAAGGAAAACACAAATTACCATTTTTCACAAATAATTTTCTTATGGATCTACAAACCCCAAAAGATGTATTTCAGCCTTTATATGTAAGAAATCTGACCTGGGGGTATAGCTCAGTGGTTGAGTGTGTGTGCTTAGCAAATATGAGGCCTTGGGTTTGAGTCCCAGTAATCCCCTTAATAAAAGAATCTGACCAGATAATATTTAGATTGTAGACCTACTATATTTTAATTCCACTGGATACGTCCCATAAAATTTTAAGAGGTTTTACATTTTTCCAGAATATTATAGTTGAGTCTTTTGAGAAAAGTGTATATATTTATCCTTACAGATTGCAGGATCAGAGAACTTGAGTGGTCTAGATTGGAGAGAAAGAAGGGAATCTGGACCACCCAAATCTTTAACAGACCTGGGTACAAGGCAGGCTCCAGTATAGAAGGTGGAACACTGAGGTGCTGAATCTGAAAGGGGCTATTGGGAAGTCAGTCTGTCTTGTTGAGTACCAAAATCAGAATAGACCTTCTAAACACTAGAAGTAACAGGCTACAAATTGGAAGCCATGGCTGAAATTTCTAGGCTTGACCAGAATTAAAGAAAAGTGAACAAATAAATAAGGGGTTAGCTGGAAATGACAGAGTTTGGCATCATCGGAATCCTGGGGACATAAAGCTAATGTGTAAATGGGTGTTGTGGTGTGGCTACAGTCTGAGTGTGTCCCCCAGGGGTTCATATGCTGAATGCTTGGTCTTCAGTGAGGTGATGTTGGGGGGTGGTAGAACCATTAAGAGGTTGGGTATAATGCAAGGTGTTAGGTCACTGAGGGCGCCGCTCTCAGAGGGAATTGACAGACTTCTTGTGGAATCCCACTAAATTCCCCTCAGAGACTATTATAAAAGAACAAGCCAGGCCCCTCTCCACTTGATGGCTCCCTGACTCACCAGAGGTCTCTCTCTTTCATATGTACATAGGCCATGATGCCATCCACTATGTGACACAGCCAAGGGGGCTCTCACCATAGCTGAGTCAATATCGGTGCCATGCTCCCAAACCTCCAAAACTGTGAGCTAAATAAACCTCCTTTGTGTATGAATTACTTAGTTGTAGGAATTTTGAAATAGCAACAGAAAATGGATTAATATAGTTGCGTTGTGAACAAGTAACCACATGGTGTTATACAGAAGAGGATTTGCCAAGGCCACTGGCCCTTGGTTAAATGGCCTAACTCCCAGAGGCAGGGCCAGCCTCTAAGCCCTTTAGGTCAGCTTGTTATCTGCCCTGCTTATCTTGATTTCTCCAAACATAAAAATGGGACAGTGGGATCTGCCATTTCTGCGTAGCCAAGGCCTGTGGTGAGGATCAATTAGTGTTTTTAAAGTGCTGTGGGTTTGGTTCCGTTTATTTATTTTCTTGGGTTGACAGGCAGGCGGCCAGCGTGGAGTGTTAACAGTGAAGGTTTGATGTGTGTTCCTGAGACGGCTGTGTGAAGGCTACGAGGCTGGGGGACTGCCCTCTGCGTCAAAAGGCCACAGTTCCAATTAAGTGTTAGTGTTCCCTAAAGCTGAAGAGGTGGCCTGGAAGTCTCTGAAAATTAAAAAGGAGAAAAGTTATCTGTGTTTGGGCTCTGTGATCGAGGGCAGGTAGTGACCCACAGCGAGGAAAATTTGACAGGCTCAGAAGACAAATATTGGCAGTCAGAGAAGCCAGATTTTGCTAACATCATGACAGGCTGTAAAATGAGCTCCTATTTGATAAGGAGAAAGAATCTCAATTGAGAAATCAGGGTCTGAGGTCTAAGAAGCCTGTCACACACTTTTGTGGCCTTTGACCCAGCAGAGTGGGCAGAGGGTGGTGCAAGAGCAGCAGCTTTGCAGGCAGCATGTTCTAACCAGGGTCTTTGGGTGCGGCTTTCAAAACTGCATCTTGATGGCTTTATTTCTGATTATGGAAGTCATCTGTGCTCATTGCCAAAATTTAAAACTGAGAAATACATAAAGTAAGAAGTTCAGCCTCCCTGGCCCTCTCCAGTCCCAATAGCTAGAATGTAATTACTGTTTGTAAAAGATGGACATATTTACAGGAACTCCCTATAATTGTCTCCAATCTATAGAAAATGAAACAGATGACTAGAAGAATTTATCCACAGGGTCTCAAGAAATAAGCCAAAGCTAGTATTCTAATCTAGTTTTTTTTTTGATACCCTCAAATTCTGTATGTTGCATGAGGTGACACTGCTAGTCCCCAACCACTGCTCCCCTCCACCTCCAATGTAATTGGTACAAGGCACAGGCAGGATTCCTGGGACCAGCTTTATAAACAGAAGCTGTCACCATCCACAAAGTCAGATGATATCTGAAACCAGCAAGGCTGATGTTACTACTAGATCCCTTTTTCCAGTCTCATTTAAACAAAGCATGCCCCACTGAGATGAGATGATTATCACTAAGGTCTGGTGCCATCCTCTCAACAAACAAGTATAGGATATAAATCAAAGAGACCCCTAGAATCAGTAGAATTGGACAAATGTGATAGGCCTGGACCCCGAGAGCCCTCAGTTTCTCCATCTGAGTTGGAGGAAGGGTGGATGAGCTGCCTGCCCAAGTGCCTGCCTCTGGTATTCTGTGCTGCCAGCAAGCGGCAATGCATAGCTGGTGACCCTGACCATCCCACCTCTTTGTGTTCTGTCAATATCTAATTTCAGGCTGAAAGAAAGTTGCCTTTGAGTTGCTACTTCCCAAATATGCCCCAGAAAGAAGTGAAAGTGACTTGAAAAGACTATATGATACTATCATTACTCTTGCTAGGCTTATTCTATTCTAATGAGTCAAAAACTTCAGATGAGTTAATGATTATTCACTTGTTAGCACGCATTTTTTTCAGTAGGTATGATTCTCCTCTAAAAAAGGCCCTGAGTGGGACAAATGAATGTCAGTAGAGGGGGCAGAGAGAGAAGAGGGGAGGGGAGGGGAGGGGAGGGGAGGGGGGATAGTAGAGGATAGGAAAGGCAGCAGAACACAACAGACACTAGTATGGCAATATGTAAATCAATGGATGTGTAACTGATGTGATTCTGCAATCTGTATATGGGGTAAAAATGGGGGTTCATAACCCACTTGAATCAAAGTGTGAAATATGATATATCAAGAACTATGTAATGTTTTGAACAGCCAACAATAAAAAAATTAAAAAAAAAAAAAGGCCCTGAGAGAGCTGGATGAAGTCTGGCCCCCTTGGAGCTCACAGCTCTGAAACACATGAATCTGGATAACTGCAGGGTGAGGTAACAGGAGCCCAGTGTCCCTGGAGGCTTCAGAGAAACTCAGGGGACTGAAGTTTGGAAAGATTAGGGAAGACTTCCTGGGCAGTGGTATCCCGTGGGCCCTAAAGAAAGGACGAACAAACAAAGGAAGAGGAGGGTAAGTGAAGGGGTGGTTTGAATGACCAAGGTTGTAGGAGGCAGGCTGGGATTCTGCACTTGACTCTGGGCAGCTGGGAACCTGGACAGCCCTCAGGCAGGGAGGGTAGCAGCAGTGGCGATGCCTCTCCCAGACCAGTTTATAACAAATTAAACCTTCACTGATCTGTGGAACATACAACAGCACCTGGCACATCAGGGCCATTAGCATTTAGGGATAAACCGTCTCAGAGAAAGCAGCCCAACACTGGGAAATGGAATTGAATGTTTCTCTGAAGAGGAAACAGGGAGCAGCTCCAAGCATTTGAACCTGGATGAGTCTCAGCTCTCGAGCAGATTTGGCAAATGTACCACAGAAAACGTGTGAGAGAGGACGGGGAGGGAGACTGCTCTTTCACCCTGTAATCACGAGCAGAAATAACCCCTCATTACAACCTTTAACTAGAGGAGGCCTTTAGATGAGGTAGTAACAAAGCTGCACAGAATCCCTTTGAAGACTGAGCCATTGGTGGAGTGGAAAGTGCTAACTCCGTCAGCACCCTTCATGAGTAATCAAGCTTCTCCCAGCAGAACTGGAGTGTCTTACACGTGTTAAGTACGGACACACATTTACACAACTGGATTGTGAAAGCGATCTGGTGAGCACAGACCTCCGCCATCCATCTCTAGAATTCTTTTCATCACCTCTTCTGACTTCCAAGGTGAGTTGTGGCCTCGGATGGGCCTGGATCATTACCTCCAAACATCGAAGACCAGCCTGGTACCTGAGGTAGGTGGTATATATCTGCTCTGAGGCAAACAGATGCCTTTGAAGTGATTCTCCTCCTGGCCTGAGCCATCCTGGCTGGGCCCCGGGGAAGCATGGCATTTGCCACTGAAGCACCCAGGGACCCAGGTGGAGCTGAATGCAAGCCTCTGGGGTCAGAGCTGCTCCCAACATTTTAGGCATTCCCAGGCTTTCCCACAAGTCAGCCTGAAGGGTGCTGCCCCATCCCCAGGACTCTCGATGGTTACTCTACTGCCCACACTGTCCTGCTGGAGAAAGACACTGATTCTAGGTCAGCCTATTAGAAAGAAGTATTTTAAAGATACAAGGTACTGTCTATGGCTTGACTGTGGTTTGTCCCTCCAGGGTTCATGTGTTCGAGGCCTTGTCCTCACTGTGGTGTTGTTGAAGTGGTAGGACCATTAAGAGGTGGGGCCTCCTTGGGAGTTGGTTAGGTCAATGAGGGCACTGAACTAAGAAGGAGCTGTAGTTTTCCTGGAACCCTGAATTAGTTTCCTCAATAGGAGTCATTATTAAGAGTGAGGCCCCCCCACCATCACCCCCTCTCAGCTTCCCATCTTGCCACATGATCTTTTCCACATGCAGTCTCACTATGATGCCATCTACCACTGGGTCCTTACCAGATGCTGAGCAGATGGGAGAACCTGGTATTGCAATCTTCACTTCCAGAACTGTGAGCAAAATAAATGTCTTTTCTTTATAAAGTATCCAGCCTCAGGTATTTTGTTAGAGCCATAGAAAATGGACTAATCCACAGAAGAAAATGTAATTTGGAAGATTTTTCTTGGAAGGGAATAGAAAAAATACTGTTTGAACCAAAACTAAAATACTTTCAAGGTTACCTGAGAACAAAGTTACAAAGATCAACAAAAATCTCCCTCAAAGGACACAGGAAAGCAATTACAGCCCACACACCTGACACTGGCTATGGGGCTGGCAGGGGATAAAAGCAGAGTCAGATGCGAGGCTCTGAGAGGGCCAGGAGCCAGTGAAACAATAGAAAGGACCTTTCTAAGCAGGCAGGAACAGAACTGAAGACAGAGGGAGCCACCAGAAGGGGCAGTGTCCAGACACAGAGGGAAGTAAAGTTGAGCCCGACAGAGGCCAGAGGCAGTGGCTTTCTAAATCACTATTAGCCTATCAAGGAGCTCTAGGGGAAAAGAATGAAATAGGCAGAAAAAAAATCCCACACCACCTTTCTGGTTATTTTCAATGCAGGGGATGGTAAGGGTAGGCATGTAAAAATAAATGATTATTTTCAAACATCTGTGTATGATCATGTTAATTATAAATGACAAAGTGACTTGGGTCTTCAAGGTTTATTTTTATTTTTAGGCCCAAAATATAGGATGTAGGATCAGGGTTTGAGGGGAGAGGGCAAACTGCCATCTGCAGGCACTTTGAGATTCCAGAAACACTGTGAGATAATAAAACAATGGCTTCTACCTGTGAGCCTGTTCACCACTCATAAACAAGTAATAACTGAGAACTTACTATGATGCTGGGCTCTGTGCTCCACACTGGTCACAGGGCAGTAATGCAAAGCCTCAGACCCTACCCTTCTTGTTTTAAATGTTTTACTTTGTGGCAAAATATAAATAACAAAATTTACCATTTTAACTACTT